ACATAGTCCTTCAAAATCCCAGCTAGTTCTTTCTGCAATCATCAATATTAGCTGAAAATTAGTAATTCAAATGAAAATGTACATGCATATCACCATTTCTCCTAATCCACAACTGTTTGTAAGTCTGCTAAATCTTAATGGGCAAATTTCTGTGATCGAAAATATCAGCACCGAGCAAACATCCCAGAGGTACAAATGCTAAAGATTGCTTCTTTCTGTCATAATTCCATGTTTTAACTTAAATCCAACTCTATATAAAAAAGAAAATAGACTTTCTTAGGAGAAATGAATAACCTGGAAATCCTCATCTTTGGAGAGGGCTAGGAATGCTGACTCCAGCTCAGATAGAGCATACATTAAAGTTTCCGGAACATACTTCCCCCCAAATTTTCCGAACCGTCCAAACGAATCCGGACGTAGCCACCCTTCCGCCTCCATCTCGACAACGGGAGCAGGATCTTTGGTAAGGGTACAAGAAATGGAAGAAGAAGAAGAAGAAGAAGAGAACTTGGAGATTGGAAGAGCTACAGTTCTGGTGAATCGGAATGGCAGAAGTTTAGGTGAGCAAGGCGGGGATAGCGGCTTCCCAAGTCTGCAAGTGGCGGAGTTTATGGAGGAGGCGGCGGTGGCCATTAGAAAAGTAAGAAAAGGGAAGAAAGAGGGATTGGCAGAAAGAGGGATTTTCTGATATATTTGCTTACAAATTTTGGGGTCCGAATTTAAAATAGTTCATACTTTGGGAGAATACATAAATTTACCTCCAAAGTATAGTAATAGGGACAAATTCACCCTTAAACAGAAATAAATAGAGACAAATACACTCATAAAGCTTTTAATTTTAACAAATCAACCTAAATTTAACGCGTAAGATCATTTTATATTAGTAATCCATTCATTTGACGTCATCTAATGTCAGTAATCCATTATTAATGATATAACAAATTAAAAAATTATTAACATTAGATGATATCACACGTTAAATTTAAATTTAACGTGATTTGCCAAAATCAAAAATTTTATAAGTGGATTTATTTTTATTTTTTATTTAGGATGAATTCATTCTTATTATTATACTTTGAGAATGAATTTAGGTATTTTAGCCGAGGATAAGTGAAGGGGACATGTAACATGGGCCCAATTGGGCCTTGTCAGAATTGACCTGGATTTATAAGGACTTGGTAAATTTGGTATCTCATGTAGGATATTTTTAATTTTCGGGCATTACTTCTCTCTCTTACCAAATTTGGAATATTTGTAAAAATAAAAATGAAATTGAGAACATTAAGGATGTGAACTTCCATACTTTTACTAATTAAGGATGTCAACATTTTTTTCTTACTAATCAAGGTTGCGAGATTTGTGAAGTTACAAATTAAAAGATGATTAGTTTTCAAAGATTACTAATCAACCATTTATTAGATGTTAGTGGTGATGTAGAAAATGGACTCAGTTATTCGAACCATATGGATTGCTAACATGTTTAAAAATGGGTTTAATCACTACTTATGTGGACACAAAAAGAATTAAACTTAAAAAAGAAAAGTGCCGGCATAAATTATATGTTAAATCTAAGTAATTGAGAAAGAATCTTACTTTATTTTTAATTCATGCTAAAAGAAAGTAAAAGGCATAATTGAACGATGAGAATCCTCACTCTGGTTTGCTTCTACAATTTGATGTTGAAAGAGTAGACAATTTTGACTCTTGAAGTACAAGATTTCTATTTAACCATTATTCATTTAATCAAACATGCTTTGAGGAGATTAAGGTTGTCTTTTCTTTTCTTTTTTTTTTTGGCTAAACCGTTATTTGTGGGTCTTTATCATTGGCTTTTGTTGGATTTTAATTTGTTGATAGTTCTTTAGCAATTGCTCTGGATGTATGGAGGTAAGGTAGAGTATGTAAAACATTTTTGGTGGTGGGCCTTTAACATGCTTGCTCAAAAATAGTCTTCCATATTGACACTTTTTATGCTTAGTTTAATTATTTTGTACCTACATAAATATTGTTTGGGTTTTTTTTTTTAAACATGTCAGCAATTCATATAGCTCCATTGATGAAGTCCATTTGCCATGTCATCACTAACATCTTATAAATCCTTGAATACTAATATGAATAATCTCATAAGAAAACCATCCTTAATTAGTGACTTTTCAAAGTTAGCAACCTTGATTAGTAACAAAAAATGTTGACATCCTTAATTAATAAACAGTACAAAAGTTCAGATCCCTAAGGGTGTGATTTTTCATATAATTTGGGTTAGTTGTGATTTTTTTTTCTTTATTTGTCTATGTATGATGTCACTGTAATTAAAGGTCTTTTATTATCTTAGTATAAAAAAAGGAAAAGATTTTGAGATAATCTTGTTATATTATTTTTTTAATATAACTTAACGTGTTATTTAAATAATTGATTCTTTTAATTTATATGAGACTTTTGATATTAAATGCATCAACTCATTTAATGATACATGAAAAGTGTATCAAAAAATAATATAAAAAAGTTGTCCCTATAACACCGCCTTATAAAAAATTAATTAAAGTTAATTAAGAATTTTAAATTTATATTTTTAGATAAGAAATAATATCTATCTGTCTTACCTCTAAAGATTAAGAGGAAAATTATTTCAAAATTACATCATTCCAATAAACTCAAATTAATAAAAACTAAAATATTTTATTTTTAAAGTATGAATTAAAGTATTTTTTTTTATTTTTTTGTAATATTTTATTGAAACGATATAATTTTAAGATAATTTTAAGATAATTTTTCTTTTAACGTTTAAGATGTGAGGTGAATAATCACTAACCCTTTACATACAATACTGTATAAAAATAATTGCAACTCATTGACATACAAGACAATGTTAAGATGTGTCATTCACATTAAACTATTATATTTAAATTAAAACACCATTTATTATAGTTGTCCTTTTCTCATTTTGATTTTAAAAATTTTAGAAACCCTTAATTAAAATTAACAAGTTTTATAAATTAATTAAACTTTAAATTTTAGGTATTAATTCTAAAAATTTATAATCAATAAGTTAACATTTTTAATTTTTAATTTCAATTTCCAGTTGCTAACTTTAACCGTTCAAATTTTAATAAGTAAAACCACAAATCAAAAACTACAACTATACTAAAAAGAAATCTAAATTTCTTTAAGATTTACATGCCATTGTGAATTCATTTTTCAATATGGAAAAAGAGTTTAAAACAGAAAAAATTATTTGAAGTCTAAGCTTAAATTTTTAAGTCAAGCCCAATTGGCCCAAATTATAAAAGCCCCCCAACCTTGAGTAAAACTTTGTAAAAAAAAAAAATCTGGCCCAATATATTCGGCCTCTATTTCAACCCAAGAAAATGGCCCAGCTCAACCGTGTCTTGTTTATGGCAACAGAAGTAAATAAAAGGAGAAGGGTGAAGCGAGGCGAATATCTGAAGTGGAGGAGAAGGCGCTAGCTCGCCGGAGAGGAGGGAAGGGTGCCGGAGGAAGGGAAGGAAGAATCGGGTAATAGTGGAAACTGAGAGAAGTCTGGAAAAGAAATTAGCATAAACATTCGAGGAGGATCCAGAAGTAGCAGAAGTTCGGGGAGCACGAGGAAGTGAAAGTTCTGATTTTTGCAGGTATGTCACCCATTTATTGATTTGGTTTAGCTATCCCTTATTAAGCTCGATTTAAACCTTATTAATGACATATGAAAGGAATTTATTGGGTTTTTAACTGCATGACTGAATTTATATGTTTATGTACTTAACATCATTGAAAGAAAGTTTAGGGTTTTAGAAGGTTTTTAGCCTCTGTTCTTTTGCCTATTGACTTACTTGAGTCTCTTTTCCTGTAATTCCATGTGGAGGGATGCTCTTTGCAGTGTTCTTTTTTTCACTTTTAAATAGCTCGGATAATTGTTTCTATTGTTGTTAAGCTGAATTAGTGGCACTCCTATCCTTTATTCATAGACTTGAAGCTCTTCAATCAACTCATTTTCTTAGTAGGTATTAGTTCTGAATTGAAATTGATCTTTCCTTGTTATCATTAAACCCTCTTTTGACTGCTGTTTTTGAACTGAAATTGCAGTGGTCCTTAAGTGCATTGAGAATGGGACACGATGTGTCCTACCATTCAGAGTCTCCTGTTAGGGGGCGGCGATCTCCTTCAAGGAGGAGCCCATCTCGTAGAGAAAGATCTCCTGCCAGGCACAGGAGCTCACGTAAGGATAGCTCCCCACCAAGAGAGAAGTCACCTTCTCGGTACAAGAATACACGTAGGGATAGCTCCCCCCCAAGAGAGAAGTCACCTTCTCAGCACAAGAGCTCACGAAAGGATAGCTCCCCACCAAGAGAGAAGTCATCTTCTCAGCACAAGAGCTCCTATAGAGGTGACTCTCCAGATAGAGAGAAATATTCTACTCGTGCAAGGTCTCCAAAGCGTTCCAATTCTGACTCCCCTATTTCACACTCCCCATCTCCTCAGACAAAGCGGTTGAGGAGAGCCCAATCTGAAAAGGAGGCTGAGAAAGTCAAAGAGAGGGAGCATGAGAAAAATCATAGCAGGGGAGGTGAGAAGAGTACACATAAGGAAAGGAACTCAGAAAGGGAAAGGGGTTTGGAGAGGGAAAGTGGAGCTGAGAGGAGGGAGAGAAGGTCAGGAAGAGATGATACCAATAGCATGTCCTCTAAAGGAAGACGTGAGCACTCTACTTCTCCATCTGATCGCCACCACAGAAGCAGGCATAGATCTCGCTCACCTCTAGCATCTGAATCCAAAGCCCGCGATGAGGTGTCTGGTGATACCCACTCTTAAAACTTGTTGTCTAATTTTATATTCTGTCCTGTTTCTGCATTTTTCATAATTTTCATGAGTTTCAAGAACTATTATTGGGCATGTGTTGAGCTACTGCAATAAGAACTAGTTCTTGTTGGTTCCCAGTTTGAAAAAGCTATATAAAAGTTTGTTTGCTACTTAGATATGCAGGCAGCACTATTAGGAATTTGTAGTAGGTAACTGTCATCCTTTTTTTTTTTGGGGGGGGGGGGTGTGGTGGGATTCTAGAATGTCAAAATGCTAGGATCTGAAAGGATTTTGGAGGTTGGTTTGAACTGGAATTGGATGTGGCGTTTTGTTTCCTATGTGCTTGTCAAACATGTTTATGTGCTTAATTGGTTAATAGGTTGGAGAGTTTTGGTATTGCTATTCATGTCTTCTATGGCTATGCTAGTCAAATGTGGGATTGCAACTCTAGTTTTATCGAGATTCACTCTACAATATTATACTTAATGTAGAATATATCTGGGGTCTAGAAATGTTGAAGATTCATACATGTATGTAATTCGCTTATTGTCTCGGAATGTAGGTATTGTATGTAACATGTCTGTTGTATGCATGTAATGTACATATTGTATTTTTGTAATGTTACTCATTGCATGTATGTAATGAATGTATTATACATAATTTAGGTGTATAATGTGGCTATTGCCTATCAGTGTGTATTGTGTCTGACATAACTTCATTGTTTCAGGAGACAAACTCAAGGGGTGCTGCACAGAGGTAAAGTGATTCTTAGATTATCCTTTTAAGCTTTAGCAAGGGAAGTATGGTAAATTCAGCATGATATAATTCTTTTTTCAATGTAATAAACTTTATCAAACATCTTACCTAAGTAATACTCTAAAATTCCCTTTCCCTCCTTAACCTTCTATTGTGAAAAAGAATCTGTTGGAAAAAAATGGAGATCGTAAGTAATGAAACTGTTAATAAATATTTAGGAATATCATTTCATGGTTTCACCAATTTAGCAAAGTAAACTTTCTATTCAAAGTGGGTAATTTACTTTCTACTCCATGATGCTTGTTGATAATTTTATGTTGTATTAACATAATTAAATGCCAGTTAATTTAGGGTATCTCTTGCTGTTTTAGGGATTTTTTTTATTAGTTTAATAATCAACTTTTCCATATACACTAGAGATGAATTTTTATTAGTTTAATAATCAACTTTTCCGTATACACTAGAGATGAATTCTCTTTCCTTTGAATATTTCTACTATACCATGGTAGATTCACTTTTTCATTTTTTGGAGCTTTAATAAAGTTTATATTAACACATTGCTTTGCTTTACTTAACAGGAATGGAGAAAATGATTCAGTGTCTCAAATGAAGGCTGCTGAGGAGGCCTTGGAAACAAAAGAAAAGGTGACAATGGCTTGTTCTTTAGTTCTTAATGCTGAATCAACATTAGTTGTGTACATATTTTATTTGGGCTAGCATCATTTTTAATTTTTGTCTTCTTTGGTTTGTGTTGAACTTGCAGCAAAAACCTACTTTTGAGTTATCTGGGAAGCTAGCTGCAGAAACCAATAGGGTTAGAGGTAACATTTTATTCCCTTTAATTTAGACAATATTTGTCTTTCATGGTTTAGCCTGAAAACAAGACATTTGTTTGTTTCCTTGCTCGTAGATGGATGGATATCTCTTATAATTTATTTTTAAAAAAATTCTAACCAAGAAAGGCATGGACCTGTTCATGTTTTTGCCTGTGTCATGTTTTTGATATCTAATTGGGCTTAAATTAACTTAACCCGGTCTGTATGCTGTTGCAAAGAAATTTGTTGGGGGGTTTTGTTCATAGGTCATTACCTGTCCTGTTGTGATGTATTATCATCTTTGGTATCATCATTATTGTTGTCCATTTTATTGTTCATTTTTATGTTGATTGCATTTGTAGGTGTGACTTTGCTATTCACTGAACCCCCTGAGGCTCGAAAACCTGATATAAGATGGCGGCTTTATGTTTTCAAGGCTGGTGAAGTGTTGAATGGTCAGTCTAAGATAATTTTTTTTTTTCTTTTGGTTCATTTCTCTGAGAAATCCTTGTATTTATGGGCATGAATTTCTTTAAGTTGTGTAATTTCATTCTATAAGTTTTCTATGCTTTCTTCCATTGAAAGATTAATGGCATGCTTGTAGCATTTTATTTCTCATATCTTTTATACAGGCTTCTGGCTAATTCAACACTTTCTATATGATCCAATGGTGCACTTTTAAAGCATTTGAAATGCGCCAGGACTTTCTTAATAGAGCTTGTTCTAATTATGTTGATAATTCTTGTTGGTTAGAAAGGTTGACTGATTGTTGAATAAAGCTTGTAATTTATTCCCCTGGTCTATCATTAATTACTAAGAAGTTCTCCTTGTTAACAGAGCCTCTTTATATACATCGTCAAAGCTGTTACCTGTTTGGGAGGGAAAGGCGAGTAGCAGACATTCCTACAGATCATCCATCATGCAGCAAGCAGCATGCTGTCATCCAATTCCGGTATAGTTATACCAGCAGTTTTGGTTTGTTGTGTGTTCTGGATTCAGTTTAATTTGATTGTTCTGCATGCTTTACCAGGCAAGTAGAAAAGGAGCAACCTGATGGTACATTATCCAAGCAAGTAAGGTAGGACTAAGCTGAACTTTGGTTGTTTGGAAGCTCTTATCCTGAATTCATATCTGATTTGTTTTGCACTTGCCTTTTGTAGGCCTTACTTAATGGACCTTGGAAGCACTAATAAAACATTCCTTAATGTAAGCTATTCATCTCAATATATTGTGTCTCTGTATGGAATGATCCCAGTAAATTCATCTAACATTTCCTTTTGCACTCGCAGGACACTCCTGTTGAACCCCAACGCTATTATGAACTATTTGAAAAAGACACCGTTAAATTTGGTAATAGTAGGTAGGGCTCTAATCAATATTGGTGCATACTTTATCGGTTACATGGATCGTGATTCAGTTCTCTTCACCCTTTACTTTGATTTTTGTTGGCAAATTGGTGACTTTTCTGACTGCATTGCATGTTATAGGTTTATTTATTTTTCTTTTTTTGAATAGAGATATTTGAACTGTTGGTGGCAATTAGCACTTGAGAAAATTCTTAGAGATCTTATTGTGATGTGACCTGGATATTAGAATTCAAGAAAATTCTTATTGTGTTGTTATATTAGTCTTTTATCAGTAAATGGTAGTCTGGTCTAGTTGTCTCCCATCACCAACATCAAGTGCTTACAGGGAAGATTCTTAGAGATATACACGTCGATGCTTTATTTTAGTAGAGATCTATTTTCAGAAAAGATTATAACAATTTTTAACACTTGAGACTGAATGAAGCAATCAACCTTAGCTTGTTTGAACCTCCTTTAATCCTCTTGCTGCCAAACCGAACCGAACCCTTGATTTCTCACTTCTGCTCATTTCTAATGGGGGAATTATGTATGATTGAAGGTTGTCTTTTGCTAGTTCTGCTGCTTGCTATTGAAAGCTATAAAATCCATCTTTTTTTCTGTTTTTTTGCAGCCGAGAGTATGTACTATTGCACGAGAACTCCGCAGAGTGATCGCTGTTGCAGGGCTGTTGCAAAATGTTCTTGTCTATCAAGCCTGTGCTGGAAAACCGAGTACTTTTGTTTTCTGCATTCTGTTTGTCACAAGATATGGAGAATCGAATTGTAACTTCTGTTTTACCTCATGTTGGATTGGAGAAGTTTCTTGTACAATGACAATAGTTTGTCCAGTTGAGTCCATGTGTTGTCCACTCTCGCATGTTTATTACCCTCTTTACGGTTGGAAGTCTAAAGTTCAAGTCTGAATCAAAAGGTAAGGAAAAAATTTAACGAAAATATTACAGTTACAATATTACATAATATTATAAATTTATAATATGAAATATTTAATTTTTTTATTCAAAATTTTATATATAATATTATATGTATTTATCTGTTTAATGTTGCTTTATACTCGTTTCAAAAAATTAACAAATCACTGGCAAATTCAACAAAATTAAAATTAAAATCGTATGCACCGGATGCCTATGCTCTATCTTTGTTTTTTCGAAACTTCTGCTATAGAATACTTTTTTTTTTTGTTTTTTTGGATAAAAAGAAATATAGTATCAGATCAGTATCTATTTGAGAAAAGTTGAGTTTGAAACTCGATTTATAAACGAAAATACATTCCACTTGCTTATCATTTTGAAGAAACGTGACCACTATTGCGGCCACACAGGGAAATGCTAGAATTCTTTAACTGTTATTCAAGCATCTCTCTGAAAATGTGTAGCCTTCGCAAATAACTGATAAGGCGACAACTCTTTTCTCATAAAAATCTGTCAGTAATCGCAAGCAATGGCAAGGCAATGGGCTTTCTTTTTTCCTTTTACGTCTAACGTAACATATACAGATTTTTATTCAAAATTTTTATCAAATGGCAACTAGCATTCTATTCTTTCTCAGGTATTTGAATTAACTATTTAGGTACAACTAATAATTAATAATTGATATTTTTTTATAATTCAAAATATCTAAATCTGTTTAATTACAATTAACAGTTAATAGTTGTTTTTAAGATGGTAAAACAAACGCCCCTTTAATTTTAATTGGTTAAACTCTCAATTTGATCCTTGAACTATTATGGGTTCTCAATTTGGTCTCTAAACTAAAAAATTCTTTAATGCAATCTTTACTATTTATCAATTTGACTTCAAGTTAGTCTCTTCGTTAAAAAACAACTGATGTGTTTGTTACTTAATAGCAGAAAACTATTACTTAATGATCACGTGTTATATTAATAATGAGACACATCATCTACTTTTGTACAGAAAAACCAATTTGAAGCCAAATTAACAAACAGTAGATACCAAATTAAAGATTTTTTTAATTCAGAGACCAAATCAAAAACCTATATAATAATTGAGGGACCCAATTAAGAGTTTAACCATCTCAATATAGTAGCCTACATTGCTACGTGTATTCATTCTTATCAATTTACAAAATTTTTTTGCAACTTGTAGTCCAAGTTAAGGTGTAATTAATATACTTTTAGGTAATTAATTTGTATTAAAAATATATAAATTAACATTTAATTTATTAATTGTCTATTTAAAATCTTCTAGGTGGCATTAGTATTAAAATTAATGCTAATTTTTGCATTTCTTTGTATAAATTTAAAACTAAAAAATATATTAGTTATGCTATTAATTTATACCATTAACTTGTACTCTTAAAGTATAGGTAAAAAGACTCGTTTACGAATTATTAAATCTTAACATGACAATAATCTTTATGTTTAAAAAAGGGCAATAATCTTACCATAAAAAGTGAAAGGAATTTTTCAAAATGTATCCTTACAGTATGAGTTAAAGGTGCACTTTTTTATCATTAATTTGTATGGAAAAATTAAAAATTGATTTTAATTTTATTAATTGTTAAAATATTTCACATAACATTAATGTTAAAAACAAAGTTTACTTTAATTATTTTTTATATAAATTAATGATAAAAAAATATAATAAATATATTTTTAACATATACTTTAAGAACACATAATAAACAAATCCAAAATAAAAAAAAATAAAAAAAAGCCCGAACATGGCAATAATCTTTACCAACCACAATGCTACCAGCTCTCTTTTCTTGCTCAGTACTTAACTTTTACTAATATAACAACTCATTACCAAAAAAGATAATATACCAAACCTTTATAGTTTTTTCTTTTGTTAAAAAAGTGTTATACAAGACGGACTGCAAAATAAAATTAAAATCAATTTTTTTATTTAGACTTTGAGAGTTATTATAAATTTAGAGTTACAATAGACAAGTTTCATTCATCAACAGCCACAAACTCTCATTTTCAAATCTCATTAATACATATTCTTGCAACTTTCCCATCTCCCAAACAAATTCTTCTCCTTCACAATCACAGCCATGAAAAAAAAGCAAAAGATTCAATACAGTAATTACTTCTCGAAGTTAACAGACTCCCTCCTCTTTATCATTGTCTCTCTCTTACCGTTCAAGCAAGCTGCAAGAACATCTGTCTTATCTAAGCAGTGGTCTCATATTTGGCATTCTACCAAAAACATAGAGTTCAATGAAAATTTCTTCGTGAATTCCCAAGAATCTGAAGAAAAAAGAGGGAATCAGAGAAGGGTTTTCATTGAATTTGCTAAAAAATGGATCTTGAATTTCCAAGAATCCTCCATCCAAAACTTCATCCTCACTTGCTCTGATCCCGGGGAATTCCTTACTGACATCCACGACATCATCATATTTGCCCTCGACCACAACTCTAAGAACCTAACTCTGGATTTTTCTGATCCACAATGGGATGATTGTGATATCGAGGAACATCCAGCCATCTTTGATTTACCATCCAAATTTTACAAGCACCAATTTCTCGAGTCTTTGAAGCTTGCTTCATGCAAGCTTCGTATGTCAGTGTTTAAATTTGGTTCCCTCAAGGATCTTTCCCTTAGTTGGATTGAACTGAGGGGGTACGACATACAGACTCTGGTGAACAACTGCCCTCTGCTCGAAAGTCTAACCCTGATAAAGTGTACCGGTATGTATGAACTCGAAGTCAGTAATCCAAATTCAAGGCTAAAAAAGTTGGTGGTGGACAGATGCAGTTTCGTTTTTAACACCTCCATCTCTATTGATGGACCACAGCTTCAAATCTTCAAATATTCAGGTAAAGTAGGAGAATTCCATATAGAAGGCCAGAAGTGTATCCAAGAGGCAGAACTAGATTTTGGGTTAGAGGAGGAATTTGAAAGACTAGGTGATCTCCTTTCTGATCTCCTTGAACAGCTTGACTCTGCCAAGGTCCTTACCGTTGATAGTTACTTACTTCAGGTCAGTAATAAAATCAATCCAGTCCAAAGTTTGAAAATTGATTTTGAAATAATTGATGCAATTTTATAATGTTATGATTGTTGTTTATATATATATATATATATATATATATAGGTAATTACTCATGGGAATGATCCACAATATTGCGGGGAAGGCGACCTCGAAACCAAACATCTAATTTTGAAGACTGCATTACATGCTAATGAGTTCCCTGGAATCAAATACCTGCTGGAGAGTTTTACACCTCTTGAGAAACTTACAATTGAAATTGGCCCTTTAAAAGTCCTCCGTGTAAGTCCATACAATCTTAATTCATCTTAAATATATAACAATATTAATCCCTTTTTTTTACACTAATTACGTCTGTTTTATTGGTTAATTAGCGTTATGAGCCTCGATATCGGTTTAATCCTGAAGGTTGTTGGACTAAGAACTTGATCTTATACAAAGACATAGAGATAGATGTGAAGGAAGCGGAGGTGAAAGGCTTTAAGGGAACAAAGAATGAATTATTTGTGCTACAATATCTGCTCGTCCTCGCACGTTCAATGGAGCAGATGCACATTTATCTCTCGAGAGAAGTTGGTGAGGATGGTAGCAATGTAGAAACTTATCGACAAAGGACGGTGGAAGGGGTGATGAAATTCAGGAGGAGCTCAAAAACTCTGCGAATATCAGTCAATTAATTTAACTGGGGAAATGCAGTGTGTGAGTGTCTGTGTTGCTCGTGTTGTTTGCAATTTGATTTCAATAATTATCTGCAGCCACATGCAGTGGCCGAACCAGGGGTGCGAGAGGGGCGCATATGAAAAATTATTTAGTCTCCCCTGAACTTTGAAAATTTTAATATTTTGCCTCCCCGAAAAAAATTTCTGCCTCCACCCCTGGCCATATGTGTCCTATGGTGAACTTGGATTTATTTCTATACTATATGTTTGTTGTAAGAACGTGCAACATGTAATGAATTTTATCATAGTATTTGTTTTACAAATAAAATTTGGAATCGTTGATATTATAACTATATTATTTTTTACAGTCTGAAATTAAGTCTTTTATATGTTTAGGACATTCATTATTATTAATTAGACTTTTTACAATCAAGATCATTTATTAGAATGACATCAGAACTCGATAAATGATAATTAAGATCATTTATTAAAATGTCACGGGGACTCAATAAATGATATTTTACATTCATAAAGACTATCCTAATCTAATCTTATTTAACCTAACCTATGATTGAACAAAAAAAGTTTGCAATTTTTCAATTCATTTCCCAACCATTATCATGGTTTGAGCCATTCATATCTTTATTTGGTCACAAGTAATTTTTGAGTTTGAAGGCATTTCCCAACCATTATAAAAGAACTTTAATATGTATATGATGCATTAGGGATTGGTAAACAATTTTAGATATTTGACTAAATTCAAGGGAAAAAAATATAGATCCTTTTCCTTTTGTAAAAATACTAAGGAAAAAAAAAACCAATAAAAGTAGAAAAGATTGAAGGCCAAAAAAAGAATTATAATAAAAAAAAAAAGAAAACAAAAAAAAAATAAAACAAAACAACTTAATATGGAAATAATCTTAAGTAGGCTTCTCTTTCCTTTTTGCTCTTTAACGTTTAATATAACACCAAAGTGACCTAGATTTCCTCTTGTCAAGGTCAATTCAAGTCTATCCCTTTTTTTTTTAGCAAAAAGAAAAGAAAAATCAAAATTATATTTTGTTTTTAAATTAGAAAAATGTTTTCTATACAACTTTATCTCATAATCCCATGTGCAATCAATAATACTACTCTCTCTGTTTTAAAATATAAGTTGCTTGATTTTTTTTACACATACTTTTAACTTATACTCTTTTATAATATATGAATAATAATTAATTTTTTTTAATCAAATGAAACTATTAATAAGAACATATAAGAAAAAAATGAAAATCTTAGCTATTATTCGCATACTATTAAAATATATTATCTAAAGCTAAGTGAAAAAACTCAAACGATTTAATATATATTTCGAAATAGGAGGAGTATAATTAAGGGTTCTTTTACTTTACCAAAGTGATTGAATCGGTATATGCCTACTTATTTACTATTATTCTTTTCAATTTTTTTAGTTATTCTAATCACTCAATTTTATGTAAATTAATTAGCTGATTTTATATGGCAAATTAATGAAAATTAATTTTTTTTAT